AATCCCACTTTTTTATGTCTGTTTCCTTGAGAAGCCTTTTTTGTTTATTTAATTTTTTTTATTTGTAGTATATTTGTGATTGTGTACAGTTACCTAAAGTAGACTGCAAAGGATTTTTTACCTCATTGTTATCTTTCGTACCATCTATACTTTTACCTTACAGAGCTACAGTTACTAATGATGGTCCAGTAACAGTAGCAATACTTAACAAAAATATTTAATAAAAGTAACAAAAAACAAAAAAAACCTGCAAACAAGAAATATAAGAGGAAAAAGTAAAAACAAAACACAAAGTTAAAGATCAAAGTAAACATAAAGGGGAAGCTAGAGGAAAATCTAGAACCACAAATTTAAATAACAAATGATTTTATTTCTTACAGTTTTATTTATTTAACTCTTGGAAAAAGTTTATTTATTTATTTTAAAAAGCAAATTTCAAACTCAAAGTTGTCCCTTTTCAGCAAAGTTTTATTTTCTACCGCTTGCTCATTTATTCACCTTTCAATTTGTGCACTGCCTCTTTAATACTTTGCATTATTTTATGCTATAGATTTTTTTTCTCTAGTTTTTAAAGTCTGTTTTGTTCTGGAATATTATTGTTGACTTAAAAATCAGCTAAAACACAAAGTTATAAAATTTGTGACAAAAAAAAACAACAAAAAAAACAAATATTTAAGCAAAAGGTAGTTTGGAGGGGGGGCATCTCTTGCTGTGAGCACTGCTCAGAGGAACTGCGGTGCGAGGACCAGGCTGGCTGTGTTTGTCCAAACAGGATCTTTGACGTTTAGAGTCTCCAAAAAAAAAAAAAAAAACTCCTTTATCACCTAAAGAAGTTGCTAAATCTGCAAGAGGGGTCAGAATAATTGCTCATAAATAGAGACAAAGTCACTAAATCCGCAAAATTTCCTTCAGAGAGATTGCTATGTAGCATGCTTGTAAGCTAAATTTTAGAATTTTGGCTAATTTTGGAGCTCGTCTGCCTGGCTGTGTGTTTCCTGGATGGGGCCGCCTTTTACGGCTGCTTTTTGTGTCTCTGCTTCTTTCTCCTTGAACCCCGGTCGGCCTCAGCAGATGGCCGCTCACACTGAGCCTGGTTCTGCTGGAAGTTTTTCCTCTCCACTGTCGCTACAAGCATGCTTAATGTGAGGGATTGGCTTCTAGTCAATGAGTCGATGCAATCAACTGGGTTTTCTTTTGATAGAAAACTTTGAATCAATCTGACTGGATGATCTGGTGAACTGGAAAGTGACCTGAGATGACATGTGCTGTGAATTGGCGCTATAGAAATAAACTGAATTGAATAGATTTTCACTATGCACAGAATTTAGGATGTACTCCATCAGAGTTCTTAATCTTCACTTAGTTTATTTATTTAGAGTCAACCCAATAGAACATATTAGCGTAGCTGTTTAATGCTAACCTCACAAAAATAAACAACAACGAAAAAATGCCTGAAACACCGTTGTGTTTAAATTCAGTGAATATACTCCAGTTTTTTTTTTCCAGCTTTTTATTGTCATTAAACTGTCACAAGTACAGAGTTATTGGACTTTTCAAAATGTTTGTACAGCAACAGTATTTTCCTGCTTTAGACAGCTGCTTATTTTTCACAGGAATCAATAATTCACCTAAAGAACGTTTAATAAAACACGTCATATAAAGTTAAAGAGATTCTGACATTTGATTGTACATGTTCCGTTATATTCAGTTTATTTCTACTGGGCCAGTACCAAACTATTTTATTTAAAGGTTTCACAAGACAAACGGGTCGAATTTCTATCCAGCTGAGTTAAATAACACATATTTTGTTAACAAAGCTTTTAGTCTATCTAAAGTGACTGAAAACATCTGATTAAGGAATATTTTTAAGGCAACCCTTTAATGAGAACCTTTTAAACTCCTGCTGCTCAGAGCCTTTTCAGAAATCTAAAATGCTAATCTGATAGTCACAATCTGAAGCTTTTGGAAGTAGAAGTTATGCTACTTCTTCTTGAGTTATGCCAGAGCTTCTCATAGCTCAGCTGTTCTGTACCATTTGCAGAAGAGTGCGTTGCTCCTCTTCATTGCAGCAATAGCTGTTGGCTTAATTGACAGGAGATTAATTAAAACAAACTTTCTCCAAACCTCATCTCCTGCCTCTTCCTTTACCTGCATCCCTCTATCTCCTACCTTCACCTGTCTGCCTTTGTCTGTATGGCTTAGGGTAAGTAAAATCATTTAGACATCTACATGAGTAAAGAAAGTCAAAAAACGTAAATAAGTTTAAGGTTTGTATTTGCTCCTTGTTATCACATCAAAGATAAATGCGACATCAGACCTTTAAATGTGAGAATACAAGTTTAGAAGCAACAACTTTGCCATGTTACAATTACTAAAAACACATTTACAAGTTTAGTTCACAAACGTATGAATAGAAATAAGAAATTTACAATTTAAAATTATAAATTTATGAATGTAAATCACAGATTCATGAATAGAAATCACAAATTTACCCGTTAAGATCACAGATTAATGAGTAGAAATCACAAATTAGCAATTTTAAATCATATATTTATGAGTAGAAATCACAAAGTTATAATTTGAAATCATTAATTTATGAGTGTAATTCACAGATTCATGAATAGAAATCACAAATTTACTAGTTAAGATCACAGGTTAATGAGTAGAAATCACAAATTAGCCATTTTAAATCATATATTTATGAGTAGAAATTACAAACGTATTTGTTTAAATCACAAACGTATGAATAGAAATAACATATTTACTATTTTAAATCATAAATTTATAAGTGTAAATCACAGATTCATGAATAGAAATCACAAATTTACCAGTTAAGATCGCAGTTTAATGAGTAGAAATCACAAATTAGCAATTTTGAATCATATATTTATGAGTAGAAATCACAAATGTATTAGTTTAAATCACAAACGTATGAATAGAAATAACAAATGTACAATTTTAAATTATAAATTTATTAGTGTGAATCACAGATTTATGAGTAGAAATCAAAAATTTGCAATTTTGAATCATATATTTATGAGTAGAAATCGCAAACGTATGAATAGAAATAAGAAATTTACAATTTAAAATCATAAACTTTAGATTAGTGTAAATCACAGATTCATGAACAGAAATCACAAATTTACCCGTTAAGATCGCAGTTTAATGAGTAGAAATCACAAATTAGCAATTTTAAGTCTTATATTTATGAGTAGAAATTGCAAAATTACAAGTTTAAATCGAAAATGTATGTGTAAAATAAATCACACATTTATAAATTTAGTCAAAAATTTCTCAGTAAATATCATTTGTACCAGTTATTTGGTGGTTACTACTAGCACATTTGTGATTAAAACGTGTACATGATTAGAACTTTAAAGTTTTGTTTGGTACTCATACATTTGTATTTGTAAATTTAGGATTCATACTTGTATTGTTGCAAAGTTGTAAATTTGTAACCTGTATTCATAACTTGTAAACTTCTCATACAAGAAGATCTGATGTCATGAATTGACAACATTGAACAAATATGAACCTTTCATTTATTACAGTTTTGTACGGAGCCCCTCTGATGACATGGTCAAAAAATTTTTTTTATTGTGGCCATGAAGTAGTATTTCATGGCCACGCAATAAGTATAACGTGCGAATGAAATACTACTTCGTGGCCACGCAATAAGTTTATCGTGCGCACGAAATACTACTTCGTGGCCACGCAATAAGTTTAACGTGCGCACGAAATACTTATTAATAATATTAATATCATTCCTAGACAACTGGGTAAGCAAATCGAGCGCGCCTTCTCTAAGGTCTAAGGCGCGCTCGATTCGCTTACCCAGTCGGTCTCCGCCAGTCACGTGACATTTGTTGCTAAGACGCCATTTTAGGTGGAAAAGGCGTAGTGTAAACAACCGCAGCATAGCTAAACGAAGGACTAAAGGCCCGTTTACATAGCAGCCTGTCCAAGATAAGTCATTACAGTTAACATAAGCCTGAAAACAGGGGCGGATTTATTGATATTATTAATAAGTATTTCGTGCGCATGTTAAACTTATTTCGTGGCCGCGAAATACTACTTCGCGCACGTTATACTTATTGCGTGGCCGCGAAATACTACTTCGTGCGCACGAAAATACTACTTCGTGGCCACAATTGAACATTTTTTTTGACCATGTCATCAGAGGGGCTCCGTAGTTTTGACTTTCATTTACAAATCCATAAATCTAAACTGATGCTTTTTTTTTGGGAGTTATCTTACTCCGTACATCCGCCATTTCTCCTTTTACTCAAGCCCTCATCTTGGCCTTTTCTCAACTTATCCCCTTTCCCTGTCCCCCTCTCTACCTTATCTCAGTATTTCTGTCTTTCACATATTTTTCAACCTCCCTGTTTTCATTTCCCTGTCCCCCGCCGCCCGCCTCTCACACTTGCTCTGTAACAGTAGATGGAGTTATTAGTCAGACAGTGGGGATGGCTGAACAGGTGTTTTCCAAATGGGCCTTTGAGCGCTCACTGCATCATCATCACTCCTCGCCCATGGGGGGGAGGGGTTGGGACGTATGTGTTTGTTGGAGAGCTTGGCCTCTGTGTGCCCTTTTTTTCGCTTCAGGCTCAGCCATTTGCCAGCAGAGGGGCTGTTTGTGTGCGTCTGTGTTACATGTATTCATGTGCGGCTGCCTAACATCTATAGGTGTGAAGAAGTGTTATATCTTTAACAGCTGCTGCTTGTCATTAGTCACTGATGCACAACAGCAGTGGTGAACGGCCTTGGCCCGTCCGCTGAAAAGACAAGTACTGACACATTTAAGAGTTGGAGAAATGTTTTCCGCCCCTTCGACCTCTTTCTGCACCCTCACATATTTTTCATGCTTCATCTTTAGCTTTAAACTCTTCGTTTTAACAGATACGCTTCACATTTATTCCTCTTAAAGGTTTGATAAAAGCACTTAAATGATTTAAAAATGTATTTGTTTACTTTTTGGTGTTGTTTTTTTCTGCTAGCTGTACAGAGAGGACGTACATCGAACTCCCAGAGCAGTCCGGGGCAGTACCTGACCAACGGCACCGACCCGTACAACAGTCAGCCTTACCTATCCGGGTTCATCTCCCTGCTGCTGCGTGCCGAGCCCTACCCCACGTCCCGCTACGGAGCGCAATGCATGCAGGGAAACAACCTGATGGGCATCGAGAACATCTGCGAGCTGGCGGCTCGGCTCCTGTTCAGCGCCGTGGAGTGGGCCAAGAACATCCCCTTCTTCCCCGACCTGCAGCTCATGGATCAGGTGAGTCCGACCAACCGAGAAGAAGAAAGCGATCAGGGACAGGCCGTTCTCGTTGCTGGGCGGATGGGAGAATCCAGGAAACATTAGATCTCATCTTTCACTTGAGTCGAAACCAAGAAGAAATCTGACGAGTCATTTCTCTCACAGGCAATAAATAAATGGAAGGATAATATTTTCCTCATTGTGTGCGTGGAGTGTCACTTAGCGGCGTGTTGAAGGGATTGGGTTTGGCAGAAACACCCGGTAGCGGCAGCAGAAGCGTTCGGCTCAGCCGACCTGTAATCAATCCTCCTCATGCAGATTTATGCTGGGCGCTCAGAGTAACTGTTGTACCTATAAATATTCACATGGACATTTGGCAGTCATGTTCATGACAAATTCATCAGGCTGCAGGAGCATCAACACATTACTGAAAACATTTAATATCAGGTCAGTAGCAGCGTTTATTTTAACTTTCAAAGTGTGGATTGTGTTCCGGTTATGTTATGTTTATTTCCTCCTCGCTAAAAGAGACACTAGTTCGGTTTTCATCCTGTGTAAAGCATTCATACAATATCTTTTAGTAATTAAAGGATAATATAGTTTTGGGTTTCTTTGCTTTTCTAAATTAATCTTTAATTTGCATTTTAAGTTGTTTAATTAATATTTCATGAAATTTTCTTTTGAAGAATGACTAAATTTTCTTAACAAAGCTTTTATGTGTACTAGGGATGCACGATATTGGGATTTTGGCCGATATCCGATATTTTAAAACTCATGTAGCC